TCATAGAGCAGAGGAACGCGGATGGGACGTGGCCTAGACAAGCTCAGACAAAGTGAGTGCGGTTTCCTGTGTGTTTGTTCTAAATCTCACCCTGTGGGAGGAGCCTATGCATACCTGTGGCCCTCAGACCCCAGCAGTCCGTAGTGGAGGTGCGAGTGTTAAAGGGTCTGTAATGTTATTGAGTCTCGCTCCGTCTCATGTAACGTCCCCATAGACTCCGACCCTTTCCTGTAACATGTCCGCACTCTCCAACAATCCTCTGTAGCATCCCATAGACTTATTTTCTGGGGCCCCTGGGGGGTGTCATAGGTAGCAGATGGGGATCCCCATGCCTTGTAAATGAACCCGCAGTGCCGGGGGGGACCCCTCTGTACGGGAAGGGTCTACAAGGGATGTGGGGGGGAGGACCCTTCTATACGGGAAGGGTCTACAAGGGATGTGGGGGGGACCCCCATATACAGGAAGGGTCTAGAAGGGACGTGGGGGGGACCCCCATATACAGGAAGGGTCTAGAAGGGATAGGGGGGGACCCCTCTATACGGTAAGGTTCTACAAGGGATGTGGGGGGGAGGACCCTTCTATACGGGAAGGGTCTACAAGGGATGTGGGGGGGACCCCCATATACAGGAAGGGTCTAGAAGGGACGTGGGGGGGACCCCCATATACAGGAAGGGTCTAGAAGGGATAGGGGGGGACCCCTCTATACGGTAAGGTTCTACAAGGGATGTGGGGGGGAGGACCCTTCTATACGGGAAGGGTCTACAAGGGATGTGGGGGGGACCCCCATATACAGGAAGGGTCTAGAAGGGACGTGGGGGGGACCCCCATATACAGGAAGGGTCTAGAAGGGATAGGGGGGGACCCCTCTATACGGTAAGGTTCTACAAGGGATGTGGGGGGGAGGACCCTTCTATACGGGAAGGGTCTACAAGGGATGTGGGGGGGACCCCCATATACAGGAAGGGTCTAGAAGGGACGTGGGGGGGACCCCCATATACAGGAAGGGTCTAGAAGGGATAGGGGGGGACCCCTCTATACGGTAAGGTTCTACAAGGGATGTGGGGGGGAGGACCCTTCTATACGGGAAGGGTCTACAAGGGATGTGGGGGGGACCCCCATATACAGGAAGGGTCTAGAAGGGACGTGGGGGGGACCCCCATATACAGGAAGGGTCTAGAAGGGATAGGGGGGGACCCCTCTATACGGTAAGGTTCTACAAGGGATGTGGGGGGGAGGACCCTTCTATACGGGAAGGGTCTACAAGGGATGTGGGGGGGACCCCCATATACAGGAAGGGTCTAGAAGGGACGTGGGGGGGACCCCCATATACAGGAAGGGTCTAGAAGGGATAGGGGGGGACCCCTCTATACGGTAAGGTTCTACAAGGGATGTGGGGGGGAGGACCCTTCTATACGGGAAGGGTCTACAAGGGATGTGGGGGGGACCCCCATATACAGGAAGGGTCTAGAAGGGACGTGGGGGGGACCCCCATATACAGGAAGGGTCTAGAAGGGATAGGGGGGGACCCCTCTATACGGTAAGGTTCTACAAGGGATGTGGGGGGGAGGACCCTTCTATACGGGAAGGGTCTACAAGGGATGTGGGGGGGACCCCCATATACAGGAAGGGTCTAGAAGGGACGTGGGGGGGACCCCCATATACAGGAAGGGTCTAGAAGGGATAGGGGGGGACCCCTCTATACGGTAAGGTTCTACAAGGGATGTGGGGGGGAGGACCCTTCTATACGGGAAGGGTCTACAAGGGATGTGGGGGGGACCCCCATATACAGGAAGGGTCTAGAAGGGACGTGGGGGGGACCCCCATATACAGGAAGGGTCTAGAAGGGATAGGGGGGGACCCCTCTATACGGTAAGGTTCTACAAGGGATGTGGGGGGGAGGACCCTTCTATACGGGAAGGGTCTACAAGGGATGTGGGGGGGACCCCCATATACAGGAAGGGTCTAGAAGGGACGTGGGGGGGACCCCCATATACAGGAAGGGTCTAGAAGGGATAGGGGGGGACCCCTCTATACGGTAAGGTTCTACAAGGGATGTGGGGGGGAGGACCCTTCTATACGGGAAGGGTCTACAAGGGATGTGGGGGGGACCCCCATATACAGGAAGGGTCTAGAAGGGACGTGGGGGGGACCCCCATATACAGGAAGGGTCTAGAAGGGATAGGGGGGGACCCCTCTATACGGTAAGGTTCTACAAGGGATGTGGGGGGGAGGACCCTTCTATACGGGAAGGGTCTACAAGGGATGTGGGGGGGACCCCCATATACAGGAAGGGTCTAGAAGGGACGTGGGGGGGACCCCCATATACAGGAAGGGTCTAGAAGGGATAGGGGGGGACCCCTCTATACGGTAAGGTTCTACAAGGGATGTGGGGGGGAGGACCCTTCTATACGGGAAGGGTCTACAAGGGATGTGGGGGGGACCCCCATATACAGGAAGGGTCTAGAAGGGACGTGGGGGGGACCCCCATATACAGGAAGGGTCTAGAAGGGATAGGGGGGGACCCCTCTATACGGTAAGGTTCTACAAGGGATGTGGGGGGGAGGACCCTTCTATACGGGAAGGGTCTACAAGGGATGTGGGGGGGACCCCCATATACAGGAAGGGTCTAGAAGGGACGTGGGGGGGACCCCCATATACAGGAAGGGTCTAGAAGGGATAGGGGGGGACCCCTCTATACGGTAAGGTTCTACAAGGGATGTGGGGGGGAGGACCCTTCTATACGGGAAGGGTCTACAAGGGATGTGGGGGGGACCCCCATATACAGGAAGGGTCTAGAAGGGACGTGGGGGGGACCCCCATATACAGGAAGGGTCTAGAAGGGATAGGGGGGGACCCCTCTATACGGTAAGGTTCTACAAGGGATGTGGGGGGGAGGACCCTTCTATACGGGAAGGGTCTACAAGGGATGTGGGGGGGACCCCCATATACAGGAAGGGTCTAGAAGGGACGTGGGGGGGACCCCCATATACAGGAAGGGTCTAGAAGGGATAGGGGGGGACCCCTCTATACGGTAAGGTTCTACAAGGGATGTGGGGGGGAGGACCCTTCTATACGGGAAGGGTCTACAAGGGATGTGGGGGGGACCCCCATATACAGGAAGGGTCTAGAAGGGACGTGGGGGGGACCCCCATATACAGGAAGGGTCTAGAAGGGATAGGGGGGGACCCCTCTATACGGTAAGGTTCTACAAGGGATGTGGGGGGGAGGACCCTTCTATACGGGAAGGGTCTACAAGGGATGTGGGGGGGACCCCCATATACAGGAAGGGTCTAGAAGGGACGTGGGGGGGACCCCCATATACAGGAAGGGTCTAGAAGGGATAGGGGGGGACCCCTCTATACGGTAAGGTTCTACAAGGGATGTGGGGGGGAGGACCCTTCTATACGGGAAGGGTCTACAAGGGATGTGGGGGGGACCCCCATATACAGGAAGGGTCTAGAAGGGACGTGGGGGGGACCCCCATATACAGGAAGGGTCTAGAAGGGATAGGGGGGGACCCCTCTATACGGTAAGGTTCTACAAGGGATGTGGGGGGGAGGACCCTTCTATACGGGAAGGGTCTACAAGGGATGTGGGGGGGACCCCCATATACAGGAAGGGTCTAGAAGGGACGTGGGGGGGACCCCCATATACAGGAAGGGTCTAGAAGGGATAGGGGGGGACCCCTCTATACGGTAAGGTTCTACAAGGGATGTGGGGGGGAGGACCCTTCTATACGGGAAGGGTCTACAAGGGATGTGGGGGGGACCCCCATATACAGGAAGGGTCTAGAAGGGACGTGGGGGGGACCCCCATATACAGGAAGGGTCTAGAAGGGATAGGGGGGGACCCCTCTATACGGTAAGGTTCTACAAGGGATGTGGGGGGGAGGACCCTTCTATACGGGAAGGGTCTACAAGGGATGTGGGGGGGACCCCCATATACAGGAAGGGTCTAGAAGGGACGTGGGGGGGACCCCCATATACAGGAAGGGTCTAGAAGGGATAGGGGGGGACCCCTCTATACGGTAAGGTTCTACAAGGGATGTGGGGGGGAGGACCCTTCTATACGGGAAGGGTCTACAAGGGATGTGGGGGGGACCCCCATATACAGGAAGGGTCTAGAAGAATGCGTTACACACAGAGGCGCGGCTTCTACATATTTTTGGCCAAAAGTTTGTGCAACTAAAACCTCCGGTGTGTAACGCACGCTGCTAGACGGGTCATTTGTTGCTGGCGGGTGCGCCGGGGATTCGGAGCCGTGATACACGTTGTGCCCGGTCATGCTTTGCGGGGGAATTTATCTACATATCGGTAATTGGCGGTTACACAGAACATGTGATTCCTTCTCTCTCCTTCCAGGGGATACGGGTCGTCTTACATGTCCTACAACTACAGGGAGCCTTCCAGCAAGCCCGGCCTGTGTGGCCTCAGTAATCTCGGCAATACGTGTTTCATGAACTCTGCTCTTCAGGTACGTGTCACCCCCGGCCTCCCATCAGAGGCTGCGGAGCCGCAACTTCTACACTCCCAGCCATTTGTATGACTTCTGCTGCAGGCTTGGAAGGCCCCACAAAGTCCCGTCCCCTTCTGAGGACCCCTTTGTTATGTGCGGGGCCCAATGGAATAGTGTGCACGGTGCAGTTTGTGACTTCACCTCTAGGTGGCACTGGAGTGTTATGAATGGAGAAGTCTATGCACTCCGCCGGCTATTGGCACTCCTACTTCACATAGATGGCGGGCACGGGGTCCCTACCTAGATGGTGTGGCCCCTACCTAGATGGCCGGGCGCGGGGTCCCTACCTAGATGGCCGGGCGAGGTGTCCCTACCTAGATGGCCGGGCGCGGGGTCCCTTCCTAGATGGCGGGGGCCCTTCATAGCTGACGGATCCCTTCCTAGATGGCAGGGTCCCTTCCTAGATGGCGGGGTCCCTTCCTAGATGGCGGGGTCCCTTCCTAGATGGCGTGGCCCCTACCTAGATGGCGGGCGCGGGGTCCCTACCTAGATGGCCGGGCGCGGGGTCCCTACCTAGATGGCCGGGCGAGGTGTCCCTACCTAGATGGCCGGGCGCGGGGTCCCTTCCTAGATGGCGGGGTCCCTTCCTAGATGACGGGGTCCCTTCCTAGATGGCGGGGTCCCTACCTAGATGGCGGGCGTGGGGTCCCTTACACAGATGGCGGGCGCGGGGGCCCTGACACGGATGGCGGGCGCGGGGGCCCTGACACGGATGGCGGGCGCGGGGGCCCTGACACGGATGGCGGGCGCGGGGGCCCTGACACGGATGGCGGGCGCGGGGGCCCTGACACGGATGGCGGGCGCGGGGGCCCTGACACGGATGGCGGGCGCGGGGGCCCTGACACGGATGGCGGGCGCGGGGGCCCTGACACGGATGGCGGGCGCGGGGGCCCTGACACGGATGGCGGGCGCGGGGGCCCTGACACGGATGGCGGGCGCGGGGGCCCTGACACGGATGGCGGGCGCGGGGGCCCTGACACGGATGGCGGGCGCGGGGGCCCTGACACGGATGGCGGGCGCGGGGGCCCTGACACGGATGGCGGGCGCGGGGGCCCTGACACGGATGGCGGGCGCGGGGGCCCTGACACGGATGGCGGGCGCGGGGGCCCTGACACGGATGGCGGGCGCGGGGGCCCTGACACGGATGGCGGGCGCGGGGGCCCTGACACGGATGGCGGGCGCGGGGGCCCTGACACGGATGGCGGGCGCGGGGGCCCTGACACGGATGGCGGGCGCGGGGGCCCTGACACGGATGGCGGGCGCGGGGGCCCTGACACGGATGGCGGGCGCGGGGGCCCTGACACGGATGGCGGGCGCGGGGGCCCTGACACGGATGGCGGGCGCGGGGGCCCTGACACGGATGGCGGGCGCGGGGGCCCTGACACGGATGGCGGGCGCGGGGGCCCTGACACGGATGGCGGGCGCGGGGGCCCTGACACGGATGGCGGGCGCGGGGGCCCTGACACGGATGGCGGGCGCGGGGGCCCTGACACGGATGGCGGGCGCGGGGGCCCTGACACGGATGGCGGGCGCGGGGGCCCTGACACGGATGGCGGGCGCGGGGGCCCTGACACGGATGGCGGGCGCGGGGGCCCTGACACGGATGGCGGGCGCGGGGGCCCTGACACGGATGGCGGGCGCGGGGGCCCTGACACGGATGGCGGGCGCGGGGGCCCTGACACGGATGGCGGGCGCGGGGGCCCTGACACGGATGGCGGGCGCGGGGGCCCTGACACGGATGGCGGGCGCGGGGGCCCTGACACGGATGGCGGGCGCGGGGGCCCTGACACGGATGGCGGGCGCGGGGGCCCTGACACGGATGGCGGGCGCGGGGGCCCTGACACGGATGGCGGGCGCGGGGGCCCTGACACGGATGGCGGGCGCGGGGGCCCTGACACGGATGGCGGGCGCGGGGGCCCTGACACGGATGGCGGGCGCGGGGGCCCTGACACGGATGGCGGGCGCGGGGGCCCTGACACGGATGGCGGGCGCGGGGGCCCTGACACGGATGGCGGGCGCGGGGGCCCTGACACGGATGGCGGGCGCGGGGGCCCTGACACGGATGGCGGGCGCGGGGGCCCTGACACGGATGGCGGGCGCGGGGGCCCTGACACGGATGGCGGGCGCGGGGGCCCTGACACGGATGGCGGGCGCGGGGTCCCTGACACAGATGGCGGGGGGCAGCTTCTCACCCTCTTCCTGTCCCCCTCCGGCAGTGCCTGAGTAACACGCCGCCCCTCACCGAATACTTCCTGAGCGATGACTACAAGGAGGAGATCAACAAGGAGAACCCGCTGGGGATGAAGGGGGAGATCGCCATGGCGTACGCCGAGCTCATCCGACAGATCTGGTCCGGAGAACATTCTTATGTGGCCCCGCGAATGTTCAAGGTAGGTGGAAGTCACTGCGCCGCGTGCCGAGACTAGACGTGCCGTGTCCTCGCATCAGCCAAGTGTGCGGATAAAGGGGCGCAGTGGGACATGTAGTCCCGAGGCTTGTGATCAGGCGACTAGTACTGAGGTTATGAGGACTTCATTTATTGTGGTGTGTCTCGTGCGGTCTCTCCACATGTGCGTGATCGCAGGCGGGACTCGGGTGCCGCGCATGTGGTGGAGTTTTGTGGCGTTCTGATTGGTGGTTGTCTCTCCCAGACGCAGGTTGGACGCTTTGCGCCGCAGTTCTCGGGGTACCAGCAGCAGGATTCCCAGGAGCTGCTGGCGTTTCTCCTGGACGGTCTCCACGAGGATCTGAACAGAGTGAAGAAGAAGCCGTACCTGGAGCTGAAGGACGCCGACGGGCGGCCGGACTCTGTACGGGAGTATGCGGCGTGCGCTGGCGCCCGCTGATCCGCCGCGGCTCCTGGTGTCCGTGGAGTTTTACGGTTGTTTGTTGGTTTTTAGGTTGTAGCCAAAGAAGCCTGGGACAATCACCTGAGGAGGAACTACTCCATCATCGTGGACATCTTTCACGGCCTTTTCAAATCCACGCTCGTGTGCCCGGAATGCGCTAAAGTCTCCGTGACCTTTGACCCCTTCTGCTATCTCACCCTCCCCCTCCCCATGAGGAAAGATCGCACCATGGAGGTTTTCCTGGTCCGTAGCGACCCGCAGTGCAAGCCCACCCAGGTGAGGAGATCTTCCCGGGGGGCAAGCGGGGGTTAATATTTCCCTTCTGTCCCGACGTTTACCTGAACGCTCCGCCTTCTCCTTGTCTTTCAGTACCGATTGGTTGTGCCTAAAATGGGGGCGGTGTCTGACCTGTGTGCGGCTCTGTCCAAACTCTCCGATGTCCCTGCCGAAAACGTGAGTATTGCCGCTGCCTCCTCCCGGGGGTCTGCGCCCCAATGCCTCCTCCTCCTCCCGGGGGCTGCGCCCCAATGCCTCCTCCTCCTCCCGGGGGCTGCGCCCCAATGCCTCCTCCTCCTCCCGGGGGCTGCGCCCCAATGCCTCCTCCTCCTCCCGGGGGCTGCGCCCCAATGCCTCCTCCTCCTCCCGGGGGCTGCGCCCCAATGCCTCCTCCTCCTCCCGGGGGCTGCGCCCCAATGCCTCCTCCTCCTCCCGGGGGCTGCGCCCCAATGCCTCCTCCTCCTCCCGGGGGCTGCGCCCCAATGCCTCCTCCTCCTCCCGGGGGCTGCGCCCCAATGCCTCCTCCTCCTCCCGGGGGCTGCGCCCCAATGCCTCCTCCTCCTCCCGGGGGCTGCGCCCCAATGCCTCCTCCTCCTCCCGGGGGCTGCGCCCCAATGCCTCCTCCTCCTCCCGGGGGCTGCGCCCCAATGCCTCCTCCTCCTCCCGGGGGCTGCGCCCCAATGCCTCCTCCTCCTCCCGGGGGCTGCGCCCCAATGCCTCCTCCTCCTCCCGGGGGCTGCGCCCCAATGCCTCCTCCTCCTCCCGGGGGCTGCGCCCCAATGCCTCCTCCTCCTCCCGGGGGCTGCGCCCCAATGCCTCCTCCTCCTCCCGGGGGCTGCGCCCCAATGCCTCCTCCTCCTCCCGGGGGCTGCGCCCCAATGCCTCCTCCTCCTCCCGGGGGCTGCGCCCCAATGCCTCCTCCTCCTCCCGGGGGCTGCGCCCCAATGCCTCCTCCTCCTCCCGGGGGCTGCGCCCCAATGCCTCCTCCTCCTCCCGGGGGCTGCGCCCCAATGCCTCCTCCTCCTCCCGGGGGCTGCGCCCCAATGCCTCCTCCTCCTCCCGGGGGCTGCGCCCCAATGCCTCCTCCTCCTCCCGGGGGCTGCGCCCCAATGCCTCCTCCTCCTCCCGGGGGCTGCGCCCCAATGCCTCCTCCTCCTCCCGGGGGCTGCGCCCCAATGCCTCCTCCTCCTCCCGGGGGCTGCGCCCCAATGCCTCCTCCTCCTCCCGGGGGCTGCGCCCCAATGCCTCCTCCTCCTCCCGGGGGCTGCGCCCCAATGCCTCCTCCTCCTCCCGGGGGCTGCGCCCCAATGCCTCCTCCTCCTCCCGGGGGCTGCGCCCCAATGCCTCCTCCTCCTCCCGGGGGCTGCGCCCCAATGCCTCCTCCTCCTCCCGGGGGCTGCGCCCCAATGCCTCCTCCTCCTCCCGGGGGCTGCGCCCCAATGCCTCCTCCTCCTCCCGGGGGCTGCGCCCCAATGCCTCCTCCTCCTCCCGGGGGCTGCGCCCCAATGCCTCCTCCTCCTCCCGGGGGCTGCGCCCCAATGCCTCCTCCTCCTCCCGGGGGCTGCGCCCCAATGCCTCCTCCTCCTCCCGGGGGCTGCGCCCCAATGCCTCCTCCTCCTCCCGGGGGCTGCGCCCCAATGCCTCCTCCTCCTCCCGGGGGCTGCGCCCCAATGCCTCCTCCTCCTCCCGGGGGCTGCGCCCCAATGCCTCCTCCTCCTCCCGGGGGCTGCGCCCCAATGCCTCCTCCTCCTCCCGGGGGCTGCGCCCCAATGCCTCCTCCTCCTCCCGGGGGCTGCGCCCCAATGCCTCCTCCTCCTCCCGGGGGCTGCGCCCCAATGCCTCCTCCTCCTCCCGGGGGCTGCGCCCCAATGCCTCCTCCTCCTCCCGGGGGCTGCGCCCCAATGCCTCCTCCTCCTCCCGGGGGCTGCGCCCCAATGCCTCCTCCTCCTCCCGGGGGCTGCGCCCCAATGCCTCCTCCTCCTCCCGGGGGCTGCGCCCCAATGCCTCCTCCTCCTCCCGGGGGCTGCGCCCCAATGCCTCCTCCTCCTCCCGGGGGCTGCGCCCCAATGCCTCCTCCTCCTCCCGGGGGCTGCGCCCCAATGCCTCCTCCTCCTCCCGGGGGCTGCGCCCCAATGCCTCCTCCTCCTCCCGGGGGCTGCGCCCCAATGCCTCCTCCTCCTCCCGGGGGCTGCGCCCCAATGCCTCCTCCTCCTCCCGGGGGCTGCGCCCCAATGCCTCCTCCTCCTCCCGGGGGCTGCGCCCCAATGCCTCCTCCTCCTCCCGGGGGCTGCGCCCCAATGCCTCCTCCTCCTCCCGGGGGCTGCGCCCCAATGCCTCCTCCTCCTCCCGGGGGCTGCGCCCCAATGCCTCCTCCTCCTCCCGGGGGCTGCGCCCCAATGCCTCCTCCTCCTCCCGGGGGCTGCGCCCCAATGCCTCCTCCTCCTCCCGGGGGCTGCGCCCCAATGCCTCCTCCTCCTCCCGGGGGCTGCGCCCCAATGCCTCCTCCTCCTCCCGGGGGCTGCGCCCCAATGCCTCCTCCTCCTCCCGGGGGCTGCGCCCCAATGCCTCCTCCTCCTCCCGGGGGCTGCGCCCCAATGCCTCCTCCTCCTCCCGGGGGCTGCGCCCCAATGCCTCCTCCTCCTCCCGGGGGCTGCGCCCCAATGCCTCCTCCTCCTCCCGGGGGCTGCGCCCCAATGCCTCCTCCTCCTCCCGGGGGCTGCGCCCCAATGCCTCCTCCTCCTCCCGGGGGCTGCGCCCCAATGCCTCCTCCTCCTCCCGGGGGCTGCGCCCCAATGCCTCCTCCTCCTCCCGGGGGCTGCGCCCCAATGCCTCCTCCTCCTCCCGGGGGCTGCGCCCCAATGCCTCCTCCTCCTCCCGGGGTCTGCGCCCCAATGCCGCCTCCTCCCCCCGGGGTCTGCGCCCCAATGCCGCTTCCTCCCCCCAATGACGCCTCCTTACATTCACAGATGGTGGTGACGGATGTCTACAATCACCGATTTCACAAGATCTTCCAGGTGGATGAAATGCTGAGTCACATCATGGAGCGGGATGACCTCTTTGTGTAAGTGGGGACCTCATTTGAGGGGTGTATGCGGGAGGAGGACCCCCAACAGGCAGAGTATGGCATGAATAGTATTGGACAGCAGAGTGCGGCGGGGGGGTTAATATTGGTC